TGAGTTCTTGCTTACTTCAGGAAAGAATTTGACACTCACAGATGTGTATCATGCCCCAAATGTTAGAAAAAATTTAGTTTCTGGCATTGTATTAAACAAGTGTGGTTTTAAACTTGTTTTTGAAGCAGATAGATTTATTTTATCCAAGGCCGGTATCTTTATAGGCCAAGGCTTCCTGTCAAACAATATGTTTAAGTTAAATATTAATGATAGTGTTGGTTCTGGGCATGGTTGCAAAAATCGCGCCTAGGCGCCCGGCCGCCGCTGCGAAGAAAGCCGGAATCGGCCTCCTCCGCGGCCAGCCGGCTAGGCGGTCTAGGCGACCTCCTAGACTGCCTAGCCGGCTGAACCGGCGCCGAACCGGCGTTTATATATATATATTTTTTTTTTTTTTTTTGCGTTTTAAATTCTGAAAAGTTCGGGAAGGCATAACTTTTGACTCAGTTGTTCGTTTTGGACAATTTTTTTTTTCAAATCGCGTATTTTTCAAATCGCGTATTTTGGTCCACTAATTTCTCAAAAAAAAAATGCTTCTTTAGCTCTTAATTTTAGTTTTTTTTATATATTTAGATGGTTTAAACAATCTTTTGAACACTTTTACAACTACTTTCGTAAATAGTTTCTAAGAAATAACTATGGAAACCTTATGATTTCTTACTAAATTTTAAAAAAATAAAAAAAAATAAAAAAAAATCGGCAGCGCCTAGGCGCCCTAGGCGCTAGGCACCCCCTTGCCGCCTAGGGGGCGCCTAGCGTGTTTTGCAACATTGGTTCTATGTATACAGTATGTTCATCTTCTTTTATGGCATTTTCGTTTATGTCATGTAAACTATAAACGTGTATGTGAGATGGCTAAAGATGGATTAATTTCATCCTTTGATCTGAACATGGAACAATGCAGTGCATGCATGTTAAATAAAATAACTAGGAATCCTTTTCCTAGTATAAAAAGGAATTCAATTTTACTTGAATTAATTCACAATGACTTGTGTGATTTTCATAGCACCCCATCTTTGGGAAATAAAAAATATATAGTCACATTCATTGATGACTATTCAAGACTCTGCTATGTGTACCTCCTGCATTCTAAGGATGAAGCCTTAGAAAAATTTAAAATATTTAAATTATAGGTGGAATTGCAAACTAGTCAGTTAGTAAAAATTTTACGTATTGACAGAGGTGGTGAATATTATGACCCATTATATTTCCAATATGTTGGTATCATTCATGAGACCACAGCTCATTATACACCACAACAAAATGGTGTAGCAGAAAGGAAAAATAGAGTACTCAAAGAAATGGTAAACTGCATGTTATTAGTTTCCGGTCTGAGTGAAGGTTTCTGGGGAGAAGCCATGCTAACTGCATGTTATATTCTCAACAGAGTTCCTAACAAAAGAAATAGGGTAACTCCCTATGAACTTTGGCACAAAAGAAAACCAAACTTGAATTATTTGAAAGTTTGGGTATGCAGGGCCGTGGTACGGTTGCCGGAACCTAAACGGAAGGCTCTGGGAGAAAAAGGCATAGACTGTATTTTTATAGGATATGCAGCACACAGCAAAGCATACCGGTTCTATGTTATAGAACCAAATGACTTTATTTCGGTTCATACCGTAATAGAGTCCCGGGATGCTATCTTTAATGAAAATCATTTTTCATCAATAAATAGAACTAAGGATTTAATTCCTAGTTCAAGTGGGTCCAAAGTTGATGATCAAATTTATGATCATGCAGTTTTGCAGGAACCTGAACTTAGAAAAAGTAAAAGAACAAGAAAGGAAAAAACATTTGGACCAGATTACTAAATGTACTTGATAGAAGGGTCAAGGGAGTCTACAGAGACTAAAAATCTATATTATTTTAATATAGAGGATGATCCTAAGACCTTTGAGGAAACCATGAATTCTCAAGATGTTGCTTTCTGCAAAGAAGCAATAAATGATGAGATGGATTCTATAATGGGGAATAATACGTGGATTTTAACTAATCCACCGAATGGTTGTAAACCAATAGGGTGCAAGTGGATTTTCAAAAGGAAAATGAAAGTTAATGGTACCATTGATAAATTTAAAGCCAGACTTGTCGCACAGGGCTTTAAGCAGAAAGAAGGAGTTGACTTCTTTGACACTTATGCTCCAGTAGCAAGAATTGCTACTATTAGATTGTTAATTGCCATTTCGGCTATACACAATCTAGTGGTTCACCAAATGGATGTTAAGTCTGCATTTTTAAATGGTGAATTGGAGGAGGAGGTTTACATGAAGCAACTAGAAGGTTTCGTGGTTGCAGGCCAAGAAAATAAAGTTTGGAAATTGATTAAGTCACTTTATGGCTTAAAACAAGCCCCTAAGCAATGGCATGATCGGTTTGATCAAGTGGTGCTAGCGAATGGGTACAGAATAAATCAGTCTGATAAATGCATCTACAGCAAATTTAATAACCAAGGACAAGGGGTTATTATTTGCTTATATGTAGATGACATGTTGATTTTTGGTACTGATTTGGAAAAAGTTAAGGAAACTAAGGATTTTCTTAGTTCCAGTTTCTCCATGAAAGATTTAGGAGAAGCAGAAGTTATTCTTGGAGTAACAATAATCAAGTTTCAGGATGGTGTAAGTTTAACACAATCTCATTACATTGAGAAAGTGTTAAAAAGATTTAATCACTTTAGTGGTTCCCCAGTTTCTACTCCAATGGATCCTTCATTGAAGTTAATACCAAATGAAGGTGATCTGGTCTTACAATTGGAGTATTCTAAAGTGATAGAATGCCTTATGTATGCACTGCCAAGTACTCAGCCAGATATTACTTTTGCAGTAGGGAAACTGAGTAGATACACTAGTAATCCTAGTGTAGTACATTGGATGGCATTAAAAAGAATTTTTAAATATCTGAATAAAACCATTAATTATGGTTTAAAATATTCAAAAGATATTTCCATCCTTGAAGGATATTCTGATGCCAGTTGGATATCAAATCAGGAAGATTATTCCTCAACTAGTGGATGGGTATTTCTGCTTGGAGGGGGTGCTATCTCCTGGGCTTCTAAAAAGCAAAGTTGTATTTCAGACTCAACTATGGCATCTAAATTTATTGCATTGGCAGCAGCATGCAAAGAAGCTAATTGGCTAAGGAATTTAATTCTTAAAATTCCAGTTTGGCCAAAACCGATGCCACCTGTTTTAGTACATTGTGACAGCGCTATTACGCTGGCCAAAGCATATAACAGTGTTTATAATGGCAAGTCAAGACACATAGGCTTGCGACATAGCTATGTGAAAGAGCTCTTAAGTAATGGTGTTGTAGCACTAGACTTTGTACGGTCCCGGTTCAATCTAGCGGATCCGTTTACAAAAGCCTTAGCAAGGGACATGGTTTTAAGGACATCGGAAGGGATAGGTTTGAAACCCGTTGATAGTCAAGAGATGAAGGAAAGCTCAACTCACGCCTAAGTTATCACGTTAGGCCTTGAGTGCAATGTAGATGATTACTTCATTTATTGGCGGCAAATACTATATTAAAAAGTATCCCTAAAGTAAGTACTTGGTCTGCATTGTAGTAGGGATGAGTTTTTACTCTTAACTGATCTTTTGAAAAAATGCTTGGTGCAGGGCATGAAATAAAAGATTAGCCTATGTGAGCATGAAGTGTGGCCGCTTCAACAAGTTTGGGTTTGGCTTGGAAATGCTTATGAATGGATACGGACACAGGGCCTTTAATAGTGTCAAGTTATTTTGAGTTGTAGTAACTGTAAAGCTTGTGTGTATCATATCTACGTTTCTTCAAAGAGACTGCGTCACTCAAGGTTCGTCCATCACTGCAATCCGAATTAATGTAACGCATATAATACTATGTGAAAGTTCAATCTGTAAGACACTTTCATTTATGCATGAGTTTTGGATCTATCTTGGTACAATGTTAATTTTTACTATATAAATGGAGGAGGAATGTAGGAAATTTATATAGTAATGGAGATTAATGTTTCAGATGGACTACCATGAAAACTTAAATAATATTTGGAGTTGTGAAGTTATAAATATTATTTTAGTTTGGTAGAAAGTAAGTTGGGAAAATTGATTTGGAACCGAAGCTTAATGATTCGTTGGTGTTAACGAATCGTTAGTTTTAACGAATCAATGCATTAATCAATTCGATGGTATCGAATCTAAGTTTGACGAATTGATGTACAATTTATTAAAATTCGTATTAATGCACACTTCGTTATTTATTCAAATGGTTTCGGTGAAGGCTTAACGAAAGTTTGGTTTCGTGCTCGACGCGTGAAATGAATTAGCTAAAGTTGATGGTCCTTTTGTTAATTTCGTTGGTTAAGTGCGAAATGAATTCGTCTTAAACTATGAGTTACACGAATCTTTGCATGAAATGGTTTGCACCTTTCGGCCAAATGAAATTAACGAAAACATTTTCAAAAGCCTTTTGGTTTGTGCCTACAGCATGCATGTAAATATTAATATATATTATTTATTTATTTGTTTTGCATGTTAACATGCAATGATTTTATAAATATAATACATACATATATATATATATATATATATATATATATATATATATATATTTACTTTGTTATATTGTATGCAATGCATGAACCTATCTTATGAAAATATATAAGATACCGCTAATTTTTTCCCATGTCTGATATATCAGATAAGATATATCTTATTGAAGTTGAGTTTTAAATTCAAATAATTAACTTCCATTTAACTTCTCCAACAGTTATATTTTGCATCTATAAATATATGGAGAAACATTTGAAGAAAGACATGCAAAAACTTGCATTAAACTGAGAAAGTTCACAGCACTACATTTCTACAGGAAATTCTTAAATAAAGAACTTAAGAATTTCATCATCTTCTTGTATCCCATAAATTAAATTTTGAACCTTGTTGCTTTATATAAGGGAGATTTAAAGCGTATAGGAAAGTGATTACACGCTTGAAGATCTCGTTTCCTCACTTCCCTATCATCAAACACTCCTATTTTTCTAACAAAGGAAGCATGAGTGCGCCTTCATGTTCAAACCCATACTTCTCTGCACATTTTTCCAACAGCCTTAAGAAAGTAGGATGCGTCAAACAACTTATAGGAACGATGAATCTCTTAAGCTTCTCATCGTGGTCCACTGCCATCACGGCGAAATGTCCTTCTTTAACGTCATTAGCCACATCCTTGGAGTCCTCGAACTCGTCAAAATGATTCGGGGATGACCTATGATCTGCTAAAGAAGTCTTTTTTTGAAACATTTGTACCATTGTCTTGAGGTTCATGCCATTCTTTTTCTTCCAGTTTGATCTGGACAACTTTTCCATGATCAGCTTTTTGCGTAATTGTATTTCTTTTCTAGTAAATGAAGAAAGAATTGATGAATTGGGGTTGCATATAAGCATGTTAGAGTGGGCTATATATATACAGAGGATACCGTGGCATGCATGTGAATGAGGTTTAATTTTAGTCCTTAAAGTAGTAAGGAATTACAAATTTCAATCTAGAAAATTTCCAAGTAAAAAACATACACATGAATAGTTTTCTAATAATATAGTTAACATTTGAGAAAATGCATGTATACGCGTTTATATACTACTTTATATTCGCATATCTTTCTAATGTTGTAAAAACTCCATTATATTGATAGCTCATTAAACCATTAATCAATACGAAATTAGTCTTTTCACTGGAAGATCTTTACCCCACTTAAAATAATGACTCAAAATAGAGTTCTATTACATGTACTTTCAAATCTTATTCGCTCAAATTTTTGCTCGTCTTGATGTGGCCGAAGCTGATAGGTTATTTTCTTCATATGATCGAACCTATGTAAAAGTGTCTACATCAAAATTTTAAGTGTGGGAGTACGTAAAGAAAGGGAGTATTTAGTATTTTTCTTCAAAATACTCACCGACCAATTTTTCCTAAATACCAACACATATATTAGAGGTGAGATTTGAACTTCAAATTAATTTCACCGGTCATCCTTAGCTCAAACTAACAACCACATCAGATGCCCTTCTATAATATTATTAAGTTATACCTCTCCGGCGGCTCTCCTGTATAACTTATTATACCATAGATAAAGATTATAAAATTTACTAACAGGGTAAATGTGTTTAGCAGCCGGAGTGGACAGGACTTATAGCCAGTTTTACGCCAGTGTAGAATTCCATGCTCGACTATAGGTCAACGTAGTACAATCACACTTCAATAACTCCATACACGTTTGTACAACCCTTTATCTAAACGGGTACGGTTTGTCTTTTTAAGTATTCCGGCCCTTCACAAACTTTCACAATCTTTAATCATTTTCCTTTTGTGGCCTTGGAGAGCTAGTACATGTTAGATATACAATAGTCTAACTATATGAACCATAGTATACGAGAAACCTAACCTCGTATGATAGCGGAAGCGTAGCCGTGTTGATCTCCAGCCATAGTTGGTGTTTCTGTTGTGTTGTGTTGCCTCTTAACTGTAGACCGTCAGCTATGTTTTGCCTCAGACCTGACTCAGAACCCTAGATGGTGTATTGGTATCTACGGTCTGAGTACCGTAACTCAATGTGCTAACAGCAACAACCATCCTGTATCCCATCAATACAGGATTATATTAGGCACAGAGTTTGGTTGATTAACAACTACTAGTTATTAAGTCCAACCACACCACTTAATAAGCCTAGTCAACTTGCACCACTTAATTAAGGCCCTAATATATAATATCAATATATATTATAAGGGAAAATCTTACATTCTCCCACTTGGTGCAAGTTCCAGCACAACCATCATCAAAGAACAAAACACACGAATCATAGTGATATGTCCTCTATTTAATCAGAGTAGTATCCATTATGGTCACATGCATTTTAATTCTTCAACTTAGGTTGATACGAGTACATCCACGGGTGAAAATCAAGAATTGGGAAAAAGAAAAGAAACAACCCAAGCTACTAGGCCAAGGAGAGAACGAAGGAAACCGGCATGGATGGCTGATTACATTTGTTAGACTAAGTTTATTCATAATAGGATACATTAGTTTAGTCCTAATACGTTATTATATCATATTAATTAAGAATCATAGTCCTAAGCATAATAGGAGTAACTTAGTATATAATCACCCTACATGCTAGGGGAAAGACATGCGAATTATTATTATCTTTTTCTTCTCTACTATCATCTTCCTTCTCTGAAATCTCTCTCCCTCTCTCTCCCTCTCTCTCTCTCTAACTTTCCCCTCCCCTAATTCCATCTTTGGAGTCTGCATCCACTCATGCTGTTAATCTCCCCATTAAACGATTAACACCTGCAGAAATGCGGGAAAAACGAGAGAAAGGTATCTGCTACAACTGTGACCAACGTTGGTCAACCAATCATAGGTGTCGAACCAGATTTCTAATGTTAATGGGGACAGAAGAGGATGATATAGAAGATCCAATCTTAGAAGAAGAAATCATAGTGCATGGACAAGATGACATAATCACAGGAGATATTTCCAGTCTAAACTCATTGGCAGGCCCGGGTAATCCCAGATCGCTTAAACTTTTGGGAGAAGTTAATGGCCGAAAGTTACAGATTTTAATAGATAGTGGCAGCACCCATAACTTTGTGCAACCCAAAATTGCTGAGCAATTACAATTACATACTTTGAAGGTCACACCATTTCGGGTATATGTTGGTAACGGAGATTCTCTAGCTTGTACCCACAGCTGCAAACAAGTATCATTGACACTACAAGGCACTGAATTCTTGGTAGACTTCTTTGTACTCCCAATTCAAGGCCCAGACATGGTATTGGGAATTCAATGGTTACGGGGACTTGGAAAAGTTGAGCATGACTATGCTAATGTGTCCATGGAGTTTGAATGGAAAGGCCACCAGATTAAATTGCAAGGAAATCATTCATTGACACCACAAGAAATAACTCTGAATCAGTTAGAAGCTCCAGTAGTAACAAGGGAAATACTGGAACTCTATGAGTTACTCTTAATACGTGGTCCTGAATCCCCGCCAGAAGAAAATAATACTGAAAAATCTATAGAAGCGGTAGAATTCCCTACAGATATACCACCAGAAATTATAACAGTACTTCAACAGCATGAGAAACTATTCCAAACACCTGCTACGCTACCCCCACATAGATTTTTCAATCACAGGATTCATTTAAATCCGGGAACCAAGCCAATCAATGTTCGCCCATATCGCTACCCACACTTCCAAAAAGAAGAAATTGAGAAGCTGGTTACAGAAATGCTAGATCAAGGAGTTATTCGACCTAGTCAAAGCCCTTTCTCATCACCAGTCCTACTCGTAAAAAAGAAAGATGGGACCTACAGGTTTTGTGTAGATTATAGAGCCTTGAACGCTGCAACAGTACGTGACCAATTTCCTATTCCTACTGCAGATGAGCTCTTTGATGAATTAGGCCAAGCAATGGTGTTTACAAAATTAGATCTTAGAGCGGGCTATCATCAAATAAGGATGCATGACCGGGACATATATAAAACCGCCTTTCGAACTCACGAAGGACATTACGAGTTTCTTGTCATGCCTTTCGGAATAATGAATGCCCCGTCTACCTTCCAAGCAACTATGAACCGCATGCTCCACCAATTCTTGAGAAAATTTGTAATCGTGTTCTTTGATGACATCTTGGTTTATAGCCAAACACTGGAGGATCATATTTACCACCTACAAGAAGTGCTTGGCACATTAAAACAATATGCATTCTACTTAAAGTTGAGCAAGTGCAGATTTTGTCAAACTTCTATCGAATATCTTGGTCACATAATAGATCATGAAGGTGTGCATGCAGATCCTAACAAAATTGACGTAATGATAAACTGGCCAACACCGAAAACCATCCGACAATTAAGGGGATTCCTGGGACTAACAGGATATTACCGTCGTTTCATAAAAGGTTATGCCAACGTTGCAGCCCCGCTAACTGACTTACTTAAAAAGGATGCATTCCAATGGGGACAGAAGGCAGAGGAAGCATTTACAGCCCTTAAAACGATAATGACAAAGACTCCGGTTTTAAGGCTCCCTAACTTTAGTAAGCCTTTCATTGTAGAAACAGATGCATCTAATGAAGGCATCGGAGCAATTCTTGTGCAGGACGACAGACCAATTGCTTTTTTTAGCAAAAAGTTGGGATTACGCTTAAGAAACTCATCAACATATAACAGGGAGCTTTTTGCCATTGTAGAAGCGGTACAAAAATGGAGACAGTACCTACTTGGGAGATTTTTCACCATCCGCACAGACCATAAGAGCTTAAAGGAGTTGTTACAACAAGTAGTGCAAACCCCAACTCAACAGCACTACGTTAGAAAATTAATGGGGTATAATTTCAAAATTGAGTACAAACCTGGCAGTAATAATAAAGTAGCAGATGCTCTTTCAAGGAGAGAAGAAGAGACAACTCCGAACACATCGTATGGGGAAGTATTCCTCACAGTAAGTAAACCAATCCCAGAACTTCTAGAGACCATACGAAAGGAAAATAATTCAGAACCTGACATACTACAACTTCACCAAAAAAATACAGAAGGGAGACTACCTAATCATTATGAAATCAAAGAGGGCTTAGCTTTCTATAAAGGTCGATATTGCATCGGAGCAAACTCTAAGATGAAATCTCACATACTACAAGAGTTCCATTCAACCCCAATGGCAGGTCACACAGGGGTAACCCGCACACTGGTACGGCTTGCAGCTAATTTTCATTGGACAAACATGAGGGAAGATGTGAAAAAGTTCATTGCAGCCTGCCAAGTATGCCAACAAACCAAATATTCAACACAACCCCCTGCAGGACTACTCCAACCACTCCCAGTTCCTTCGAGAGTTTGGGAAGATGTAACCATGGACTTCATAACAGGATTACCGGCATCACGAGGACAAGGAACCATCATGGTAGTTGTGGATAGGCTTACTAAATATGTGCACTTTGGGACATTACCACACCAATTCAGTGCACAGAAAGCAGCTAATGTATTTATAGAAATAGTGGCAAAACATCACGGTTTCCCTGCAACAATCGTCTCAGATCGAGACCCAATTTTCCTAAGCAAATTTTGGGATGAATTATTCACATTAAGTGGCACAACACTGAAGAGAAGCACATCATACCATCCACAGACCGACGGGCAGACAGAAGTAATGAATCGAGGCTTAGAGCAATACTTAAGGGCTTTTACTCACATCAAACCAACCAATTGGACGTCATACTTGGGATGGGCAGAATTTTGCGCCAATACAAGTTACCACAGCAGCATTAAAATGACTCCATTTCAAGCACTATATGGAAGACCACCACCCAC